TTGACCCTGCCCCAAAAGACTGAGGTATGCTTCTCCAGAAAATTGGCAACATTTAAGGGTGGACACTGTAACATGTAATTTTCTTGCAATTTGGGTGAAAATAAATTTAAAGAGACCTAATTTGCCAAAAAAATACTACTAACTTTTAGCAAGCATTTGGACAATCCAGGATGTAAAAAAAATTGAGGCCCACAAGATACCCCAACACCCATCTAGCTAAAAGCCTAGTTGCAAGGTAATTCTCAACTAATCATTACAGCGGAGAATTGACAGAAAACCTGAAAAAAATGATTATAATTACAATAATTATTCAAAAATCATTTATTTGTATATATTATATCAATCAATTTTAATGTCTGCAAGGTAATATGAAGCCATGAAGTTTGATTACTAGCTATTTGTTATCTTCAGTATGATAAAGGTTCAGCCAGTTTCCACTGCTAAAACTTGTAGAAGCTAGGTTCCAGCCCTGAGCATGTAAAAGGTGACGATAGGTACAAAAAGCTGTGTTATTTCCAAAGCAACTTTGAAGAAGGCTTAACTGTATCGATGGATATGATTTACTATAAGACCTTACAAAAACAATTTTTTGGAATGGTACATTTAGAGCTCTTCTCATTTAATGTGTGTATTGTCAGTAACAGAACCTGAGGAACTGAAAATTAATGTGTATATTTAAAATGATGTGCGCAATTTTAACTAAGAGAAAGATATAACCATCTCGGATCATCTGATGAGCTATATTTTAATTTATGGAGAGTCAGTAATGGGTTAGGGAAGGGATGTGGTTACATTGAATTACAGATTACCATACAAAATTTAATATATTGCCAATACTAAACTGATTGTTATTGTAGTACTTCAAGTCGTGAGTGATAGTCATTTAATTTTGTTTTTTATACAGAAATACATGAACAGTGATGCCAGGGCATGTTTTTTTTAATGCTATTAACTTGTCGCTTGCATAGCTGGTGGGGTTTCATTCATGATTGCTTTGTTTCCATGGCAAACCACAAACGTTAGCAAAAAAGCTGTGAGAAAATTCCCTATTTCTCATTGTGGATTTCTCTCTCTCATTAGAGAATCCACTGCTGAGACAAAGCACTCATTTACAAAATCCTGCTAGTTATGTGGGCTATATAACTTGTGTTAATCATAATTTTTTACAACGCAGTGTGGAAGCACCTGATTATCCTAGGTACTCCTTAGAGCAACAAACAAACTTACTTTTTGCGAAGAAGTAAAGTGGTCAACCCAACATTTGATAGTTGCAAAACTTCTGATTTCCTGTAATTTTTCCTTCAGCACAGCCTTAGATTTGTTTTCCATTTTGTAAAAAAAGAAATGATAATCATTAAAAATAAAAAAACTTTGTTTCATGTGATAAGGGATCATCATTTGCTGATGAGGTGAAGGACATACTGAAATGTACTGTATGTATGTATGTATTTACATGAATTATTTGCGTTAGAAGAGTAACTGTGATCTTTGAATTTCTATTAACAATACAGTTGACAGGTGAGGAAAACCAATAAACCAAACGAAACATATTCTCATTGTATCTGTATCCATCACTGTCTCTAGCTTACAGTATTCTAGCCTGTGTTACGGTTTACACCACCTGTATATTCAGGATTTCGTGACTCGTCTAGGTGAACCACGGGCTATTTCCTCCCACAGGAAATAGGATAGAAAAGATATCTGCATTCATTATGAACAGTGAACAAAGGGCCCCCAAAGGGGTTCAAGGCTCCAGCTCTCTCCTCCACTCACCCACCCACTCCCCTTCCCCCTGCCACGACCTCACCAACCCAAGAGGGTCTTCAGAGTAATCATAGTGTCTTCTGTACTCTTCCGGGCTTCACTCGCATTTTGGTTACTTCCCCACCCCACCTAGTCTCCTTCGCAGCCGTTATTAGGGTCGTCACGCAACGCTCCTCACCACTAGGAGAGTTGTTAGTGGGGAGGAGCGTTGCGTGACGACCCTAATAACGGCTGCGAAGGAGACTACACCCCACCCCGACTCCATCCAATCTAAATTCCGTCTATTCTCCTTTATGTCTTTCTCCTGCCGGGTTCAAACAATGGGATCATAAAGATACAAATGATTTTGAAAACTTATCAATTCTTTCCAAGGGATATAAAACACAAACGCGAATCCAGCGAAAAATATCATGATCATCTGCAGATAAATAGCGAAACTGTGTGAATCGAGGGTCACAATCAAACTTAACGACCCCTTCTCGCTTTCGACAACTTGAGAAACCAAGAACACCGCATAAATGGCAGTCATGAGTAAGCCAACGATAATTCTTGTCCTGGTTATGCTTGCTGATCGTTTGTGCAATAGCATGGCGCTTGTGGCTGCGTTGACTGCGATCATAGAAAGTTTGAAACCACCGTAGCTAGCCCCCGAGGCGGCACCGATGTTGAAAACCATCTGGTAACAAATCACACCTACAGACCCATTAAGAACCTTGGCGCTGTTACAATCGATGGGATCTTCTCCAAGCCTCGAAAACGCCTTCCAAAACTCAACATTTTCCTTGATGTCGTATTCGAAACATTCCATGGCCACAGAATCGTCGTTGGTGTTACAGCTGTAGCTAATATTGAGCAGTAGCGTTTCCCAAAACAGGGACGAAGCCATGGTAAACAGCAGAAAATACAATCCGAACAGACTGGAGAAGACCTTCCCCAAAAGTTCTTCCGAACGAGTTAGATCTATGTCTCTAAAATACCATCGTGTTAGCCCATTGTCAATTTTTCTTGTGATGATGGCGGAAAACGCACTCGATACAATCCAGTGAATCAGAGCTCTAGCTCTCTCCTTGCAACTAAAGCCCATGGCTAAGACAATGATTAAAGGAACACAGCTTGTTGCTAGAGCTGGTAAACCAGCAATTAAACCGTAGTCATAGCGTTTCATGATAAATATTAGACTGCTTAATCCAGAGAGAAGCAGTGTCTTGAACGGCTTAGTCTGAATGAATGTCTGGTTTGGTTGAACATTAATCAATTAATAGCTTCCGCCATACGCTAATGTCATAAAAATAGATCTGAAGGTAACGCAATATACGTAGAAATTTTTTTAAATCCCGGCACTTGTCGCTCTCTGACTCACTATACTAAGTTAGTCAGAGGAGAGAAAACACTTTAGCCGAGGTGAGTGCTAGATAAAATAAGTGATGTTCAGTTCTAATTGTACCACAATAATATTAATTGTTTTGCAAATGCAGAACAAAACTGAAAACCATAACGTAATAAGCGGAAATCAAGTGTAGTTTTGGTAGAGGTGAAAGAAAAAGTATCGGCTTCAAAATGTGTTCAATGTATTGCATTGCAGCTGTTCAAAAGTGAAGAGCAAAGTAACGGATAAAATGTTGTCTCTTCTTTGTTCTATCTTTTTTTTAAAGTAGCTCTCTCTTCTTTGACTCCCCCACACCGGCCCCGCTTCCTTCATCACTCTTTATGGTCAACCACCCACATCCTTCAAAATACCCAGTAGGGTCCAAGCGCTTAGCTGGAAAGGCTATATCTAATAATTAGATTAGTAGAGTACCAAATAAGAGAATGGCTGAAGGTAAATTTTCCATTCGGATATTTATGTTGGAAATTTTGGAGTACCTTTTACTACGTTCCATTTAAGACATTTACTTCGGAAATTTTCCGGTCAATCGAGACAAAATTGTCTAACCATTTTGTTTACAGTCTGATTGAAATTTTCAGATTTGGGGTAAGAGGTTAACAACCAGAGATTTCCAGAAAGAGAAAGGAATCTGTCTTGTAGGGTACGAAATTAGGGAAAAAGAGGATCAAGTCGAAGTAACCTTGGGGATCAAAATTACAGACGTATATTAAAAAAAAACCTCTGTAGTTGTTCAACTTTTGAAGTTACTTTTGAATACATCAGTCTATGCACTAAATGAGATCAGCCAATCAAGTAACGGGTAGGTTCGCGTTTGTTTCGCGCCATTCACAGACGCGGGATGCAAGGAGCGACCTTAGGATTCAAGCAAATGAGAATCAGAACAAAAACCGCACTGATTCTCATATTATGGCGAAGTAAGTTTGTTTGGTTACTTCCCGGAATTTCGCGAAGTTTGGCGGATACAAGCGGCAAGCAAGCTTCCCGTAGGGTGTCTCTGTTCTTTCTGTTGTGGAAACGAATTCCCGACACTTCCTCGCTTTTCAAGTAAGTTACGCTCATTTCTTTACAAATGTTAAGCTTATGTATTAGTTTAAGTTTATCTTGAACTCCATGTAGACTCATTTGCTGCAACAAGAACAAGCAAACCATTTATCATGAGCTCTAACGTAGAAACTACATGCATAGCAAAACGGTAAAGGTTTCTGTGGGGCACTTCACTTTGCTATGTAGCTAAAGATTTGAAGGCTCTACATATTTCCAAAGCATGTAAGTCCCGACGATTATCATTCAGTGCAAAACCGGACAATCTCAGTGTTTCGATCGACAGTTTCTACGTAGTCGCCGCTAAAACAGCCCAAGATCACTCCAAACGGTGTTTTTTCCTTCGGCAGTGGTAAAGGGGAACCAAACAAAGTTATATCTGTTACAGACCCCAGGGGAAACATACACAAGTTCTGTTCCCCAGC